GGTAGCTAATTCGTTTTTGGATACTTTGATAAGTCTTGCTGATTGAACACCATACTCGGATCCTAAGCTAGTCTCGTAACCTCTAACAGCACTCAAGACTTACTCGTAACCCTCAAGCTAGAACTACACAGAAACTTGAACACAAGAGAAAAGGCTCAAAATGTGCGAGAAGCAGTTTATTCCAAAGGTACAGGGTTTTTATGATATTTTAGAAGTCCTTGGGTTTTCCTGAAAGTTCTAGAATACTACTAAACATAGTAGCAGCATAGTAATCAGCCAATCGGAAACTCTACATGTGACTTTTCACTTACGTGATGTTTCCGGCAAAACTTCTAGTCAACGCTGATTGGATAAAATACTTCTTAATGTTTCTTGTCTTTTGCGAGAAATTTTCTGGATCACCCCAACAATCTTAGAATCAGATCATAATCATTTCATCATCAGTGAACGATCAAGAGTCAGTCATTCAGTCAGTCAGCTACAACGTAGGACTGTTGCTGCTACATTGACTTGGTGGTCGGGCTTGCCTATCGTGATGAACCAATCGAGCTATACTGGCTGGAACGATCGTTCCTCTAGGTCCTACCATGTCAGACAGGTCGGTTGAAGAGCGTTAAGACTAAAAGCAGCAAACCCAAGATCCGAAGGCGAAGTCGTACTGCTGACTGTACAGAGGTGTGACGGCAGTAAGGTGTTTCCTTCAGACAACCAGCATGACAGCGATGCTGCCTTCCCACAAGGAGTTGTGGGGTTAGAAAAGGCTGACCCTAAAAATGCACACCTCACCTTATCCCACAGATTTCCGTCTCCGGCGGTAAGGTCCTTTGAAGAACGTAGCTAACACAAAAAGGTCGTGTGTGACCGACCTCAAGCAGTTGTCCCTTGAGCACTGCGGTCACGCTCTCAGGTCATTAAGACCTCTTCTAACCCAATTTCCTTTTCAGGTACCTCTAGAAGAACCCTTCCACGGTGTGGGCAACCGGGAAGTGATAACTGCCCTCACATCTCTAACAGCACTCAAGAACGATCAAGAAATTAACTAAAACAAGAAAACTCAAGTGTAATTAAAATTTTACAAAATTATCTTTTCAGAATACGTGACATTCCAATTACGTACTCATCGAATAATAATCATAGTGTAGGTTAGATTTTAGTGTAATGTTTCAGTTCCTATTATTATTTGTTACATAATGAGGTATAATCTACACTGATTGATTACTGTAGTAACCAATATCATGTTTACCTGGCCCTTAGTGTTGATTGAGTTTTATTGATTATGTTGCTAATTGACCACCATTTTAAGTGAATCGACATTGTGTCATGTTTTGACATAAGTTAATTATAGGTACTTGATAGAAAACTTGAAACTTAGATTTTGTGTTGTTTAGCACTCATTAGCCAAGAGCAAGGGGATTAGTGGAAATCGTGTAGTTTTATAATTCACATCTGGAAATTACCCTGGTCAAACATTGAAATCCAAGAAGCATCGCATGGCTGTTTTGCTAGAGTATGAAACTTCTGAGAAGTGATCATTCACAATCCTACAAGGGGTCAAACCCAACACTCTCAGGTCTGTTTAAACTAATGAGTCATCATCTAATACTGTATTTATTTACTTACTTACTTACGCCTGTTACTTCCAATGGAGCATAGGCTGCCGACCAGCACTCTCCAACCCACTCTATCCTGGGTCTTCTTTTCTAGTTCTATCCAGCTTTTGTTCATTCTTCTCATGTCTGTCTCTATTTCTCGGCGTAATTTGTTTTTTGGTCTTCCTCTTCTCCTATGGCCTTCAGGATTTCATGTGAGGGCTTGTCTCGTGTCGCAATTGGGTGATTTCCTCAAGGTGTGCCCTATCCACTTCCAGTGCTTCTTCCTGATTTCTTCCTCCGCTGGAATCTGGTTTGTTCTCTCCCACAGTAGAATGTTTCTGATAGTGTCTGGCCAACGGATTAGTAGTATTTAGAATAAAGAACTGTTGATAAACACTGTATCTTCTGGATGATGGCTTTCGTAGTTCTCCACGTCTCCGCCCCATACAGTAGAACTGCTTTGACATTGGTATTGAAATTTCTGAGTTTGGTGTTGATTGACAATTGTTTTGAGTTCCAAATGTTCTTCAGTTGACTGTATTTATTTAGTTTCAATCAATTCAGAATATTGTATACTTATCTTTTAATGAAATTAGTGAGTAACTACTTTTCACTGGATGTGGTTCAATTTCACTGGTTACGGTTTATCACTAAATTCATGAGAATTATCTCTCCAAGTTCTTTACTTCAATGGACTCGAATATTTTGTACCCATATTAAAAAGAAATACCTATCTAATGAGTATCTGAACTTTTACTTTTTAAGTGTCTAAATTGTACATGTAATAGATTGAATTATGGTAGTTTGATTTGATGTACAGGTTTATTCTAGTTTCTATGCTGTTTATGACTGATCGATAGATGTTGTTGAATATGTCATGAGGTAAGGTTGATATAAAATCCAAAAATTTTCCAATTTTTTTCTTTATATCAATCTGATTTTTTTAAGTTTTATGTTTAGTGAATTTAATGTAAATGAATAATCAGAAGGGGGGGGTTGTGGAGTTATTAGTAATTTTATATAGTTGAAATCATGAATCAATTGAATCTAGACCACCATGGAAAACCTCCACAAAACCCCCTTCTGATAATGATCACATGCTCACTAATGACTGACTCCATTAGGTATTTCGTGGATTTCTAGTGAAAAGCAATAACTAGTAGAGTTCAACCAGGTCTTTTGGGAGATATCAACTCACTAAAGACAATTGGTGAATGGTTGCTCAACTTCGTGGATTCGTTAAGGTTAGACATTAACACCGTTGGATGTCAGCTCATTGGTGTAGTGGTTAAGCGTTCGCGCGCGAGACTGATAGGTCCTGGGTTAAAATCTCGCTTTCGACGTGGGATCGTGGATTTTCACTGCTGAGGAGTCCTACAATAGAACGAAACGGCCATCCAATGTTTCCAGGTTTTCCATAGTGGTCTAACTTCAATTGACTTATAATCTGAACTATGTAAATGAATAAGTCAATAAATGTATTGAGTTTTATATTATATATCAACTTTTATAATATATTCATGATTAGATATGGTTTTCTTACTTTTCTCTGTAAAGGGTTCATTATTTATGATAAGGTCAAAAAGTGGTATCAACGTTTCTTTTCTCTTTTTTTTTCTTTTTGAAATTAATGATAACTATTTTCAATTTTAAATAAGAAAGTTAACTTTTTTCAAATGATATCCTTAAAATAAAAGGTTATACAAATACGTGACTAGTAGTAACAAGATGTAAATTTGTTTCCGTTGATTAAAGTTCATAATTGTTAAAACCTTGTTGTTACTAAGATGGATAGTGGCTAGCAGTGGAAACTATGATGCATGTTTCGTCCGATTTGGGACTCGTCAGCTGGATATACCTTACATCTCAGAGTTGATGTTCACTCTGGGATTCGAACCCAGTTTTGTTCGCTTCAAGCGCCATCGCGTTGTTCACTTAGCTACTGAGTCCTGATAGCCATTTGCTTGTGCAATGGGGGTGAAGTTTGAATTCACTTAGTATTGTTTGTTTGAATTTTCCCATTGATGTTTTAGGACTGCAACTGGTCAGTATCTAATTGGTATCTCTGCTTACAATGCTTGTGAATTAAGGCAATACGCACAGTATGCACATATGTCAATTAGAGACTGACTAGTTGCAGTCCTAAACATCAATGGGAAGATTCAAACAAACAATATTAAGTGAACTTGTTGTTTCTAGTAGTTACTAGTACATTAGAGAATCATGAAATCTAAAGACGTATTCTATATAAATTTGATTAGATTTTGTAATGTCTCATTACTTACTTACTTACGCTTGTTACCCCTCGTGGAGTAGCCCTTGTGGCCTCCAACCAACACTCTCTATCCAACCCTTGTTCTGGGCAATCCTTTCCAGCTATTTTCGGTTGCTATTCATCCTTTTCATTTATAGGACAAATAAATTTAATCACTTATTAAATTACCGATTCAAAAGTCAATGATTTCTGTCATGATGTCTAGAAATCTTCATAACTATTTGAAATCTTTATATTGATGATAAACAGTTATGATTAAGATGTATCTACAGTAATTATTATTTATTTATTTATTTGAACACATAAATATTGGTACAAAGGGGCACCAGATATATATGCGCCACACAAATCTCATTTGAGGGCTGTGATACTCCCCAGGCGCCCAAACCGAAGCAGATGGTTTTCTTAGAGGAACACACCCGGAGCCTTTGACCTAAATGTCTAATCCACAAGGTAGTGGAACAGGGTCAGGATATGCAGTCTCATGGTAGCTGGTGACCAACGATTGATTCATACGCCATTTACTTCATCAGGATACTGGAACCCATGCACACCTTTGGTTTGAAATCAGGATTTTCCAACTCCTCTAGATGGACTTTCCGTGTCCACCAACCCTGTTAAAGCGCCGGACATTCGCTTTCCGTCCTATCAATTTCGTAAACAACAATTATGCCAGGAGAAGGCAGTGAGTAGGACTTTCCTTACAAAGGCTGTATACGCGTAGCCGTGTGAGGGCATTTGGAGAGGGAGAGCTGACTTTCCCCACTCTCAGCCGTACCAGGGTATTTAGGGGCTGATTGTGAATATCATACGTAATAAGAGCGGTATTATCATGTTAATTACGATAAACGAATTAGGAATGATGAATGTAAAGATTAAGATAGAGGTAATCAGGAAAATAGAGGGGGGGGGAAAAGAGGTTTATAATATTCAGTTTAGGTATCCGGTGATCCAATCGTAGGCCAAGGTTAACATAGAAGTTGGATAGTTAACTGTAAAGCCTGATGATAAAGTGATTGAAAGCAGTTGTTCGCTCAAATATTGTTCATTATTTTGAAATACGTTTTCATCTATATATTGTATTATTTCGTTTACTATCAATGTAACGTTTCTTTTACTATCATATCTTTCAGCGTTAAATCAAGCGCTTATTGACTATGCTGAATCATTGAATGATTTTTCAGAGTATGCTCATCAATCAACTTGTTTATCACAAACAGATAATGGTATGGTATTTTACATTTTGAATTGAACACAATACAAAATCTTCATGTATTTTAGAAGTTTGTGAAACTGATGATGATATTATTATTAAAAATGCTTTATCAGTTTATGCAACTATAATTACAAATGTTGAAGAGGCAAGACGTACTATGATTGTAAGTTTTATTGTTTGATATTGCATAATTATATATTACTAGTAAATAATTGATGAGTATTAGTTTAGCGCAATATTTTAAAAAAAGGTTCATAATGTAAAATAGCTATGAGTTAGGAGGTGGTTGTATTCAGTCAGTTATTCTGTGAAGGAGTCTGCTGAGGAGTCCCATAATAGGACGAAACGGCTGTCCAGTGCTTCGAGGTTTTTCCATGATGGTCTAGCTTCAATTGGCTCATGATTTCACAATAAGAAAAGTGTTAGTATATCTATAGTTTTTACATTCGAAGATTCTTGAGTCTTCTCCAAGTGTCCACTTGCGCTGACTGTATAAGACATAGCCAATCAGAGCGCCCCAACGTAATCCTGTACGAAACGTGCTTTAATCCAATTTATATCCCGCTAACAAAGTATATACTAATTTGCTGAAAGAAAAAGAGTAAAGGAATCTTCCTTCCTATGAACAATTTCGAACCGTATCACTGGTCTTCGTTATAGTTTTGGTGAAGATACAAACCATCATTCCCTAAGTCTAACATCACTATTACTTACCCGGCGATCCCAACAGATGCGAGAAATATTTCTCAGACATCTGTGATCAAATACTAGTAGCTGAGATTTTTGCAGACATTAACCCATTAGGCTGATAAGACATCCAAGATAAGTTAAGTTGTCAACGCGTTAGATTACTTCACTTCCTATCCTTAGTTTAGGTGTTGACAAAGGCCAGTCCTGAAGTAACGATTTGCATTTAGAGGAGGAGAAACACATCTCAAACATCCTGAAATTGTTGCTCGGTGTTTCTAAAAGACTGCATTTTATCAGCGTGTTCACCAAACTAATCACCTTATATCTAATCAACCACTTAGTGTTCAGTTTAACAATAAATAAAGATTATATTTTAGGAACAAATTAAGAAGCATTTAGTCAGTCTTGGAAGTTATATTCACCACAAGGTATTTTGGTATGATATTTAAACAGTTGTGAAAACAGCGACAATATCTATCCCTAAATTTAGACCGAATGGTTAAACAAATTCAGTAGATTTCTGCAATGCCTATAGAAATGATCGGTGCTCGGAAACTCATTCTGTCAAGCTCCAATCATTATGAGAAGCAAAGATGGCCTAAAAATAGACTGATATAACTCTTACACAATGTTCATGAGCAGTGGTGAACAGTGAAAGCAAAAGAAATAGAGAAGGCATCGGGGATAAGTAACAGTAAACAACTCATCAAGAAAACATGAATTACAAATCTGTCTGTTTGTAAGACTCGTAAAAAGACGGAACCATTATATGTTTTCGATTCAGTATTCTCTCTTTGTCCGGTTCTGGAACATAGAAATACTTCCTAGAATCCGACTATAGTGATGTTCCTTGACCTTTAAGGAACTTCCGACTTTGTTGATCAAGAGGTTCTGTAGCAGTATCTGACACTGAAGAAGCATACAAATCTTGCATTGACTCTCTACTAAAACACTACTGGTCGAGTTAGAGCTTATGGCTAACCGTCATCAAAATTGATAACTTCACTTGATGTTCGTTTTGGTCACCTTTCCCCATATTTATTTAACTTTGTCATATAAGCTTTCATCGCCTGACTTTTTGCTAATCGATGCCTTATCACGAGTTTCACATGACTCAAAATATACAGTTGGTTTGGTGGTGTTTGGTGAAGACGTTGAAAAAATCCAGTCTTCTGACTACCTTAAACAATAAGACAAATATATTTAGGATTCATTTCTCTTCCTTCAAGGACTGGCCTGCGTTAGCGCCTGAACTAGTGATACGGAGTGAAGTAGTGGATTATATCTTGTAAGGCTTATCAGGCCTAGTGAGCTAGTGTTTGACGAAGTCTCAGTTAGCTTTCAGCAACTTACATCATTCTTGACGTAATGAAGATGTCCATCTGAGAACTATAGGATAAGTTTACTGACTAGCATTTGACTCTGTTCTACTCTATGAGTGAAAAACGTGATCATTAAGAATGGAGGATACTCTCAGGTTACTATTGTTCGATTATAAATATCTCCGAATCATTTTTCGTATATTCTGTGACCACTTAGTGAGTAATGCTGAGGTTAGATGTAGAGTACTAGGTAGATATAGCAAATTAGTTGGTAAAGTAGTAAATCTTCATCGACTGAGATATTTGGGACATGTATTACGTATACGCAACCACTATCTACCCCCATAGACTATGTTGTCTGGTGTAGGAGTAAGTTGAAAGAAATCCAAAGGTGATTGAACAGAAGCATAGTATAACTCTATGAAGTCATGGACTGCTAGACTGAGATATGTAGGTATTTGCATCGGAACTGGTTGGAATTCTCACGATCATCTTACCCAATGGCTAGAAACTTCGTGTGATATGGCTCAGAATCAGTTACAGTGAGACATTTGTATTCGTTTCTTATTTCCCTCTGGTATTTCTCCGCTCATCCCCTTTCATTCTGCCTTTTTGAGCTATATTCATCATGCTTAATCTTCCTCACTATCATTAATACTATAACTCAATTCCTTTATTATTCATCTTATTAATTTTATCTCGTTGTGTTGATATACTGTAACAAGTCAGACTTACTAATATTTGTTCCTTGGCTATGTGTTAATTATAACTGACTGTGTTTATTGGATCAGGTCAAAAGAAAAAGACAGCCTTCAACTAATATTAACCTATTTCAGGAATATAAAATAAATACAGACTATATCTTCAACATATTGAAATTTTATAGAGTTGAGATCATGATTCGATTGAAGCTAGACCACCATGAAAAACGTGAAAGCACTAGACAGCCGTTTCGTCCTATTATTGGACTCTTCAGCAGTGCACATCCATGATCCAGTAAATTAAATTATCATTGGTTAAAATCAATAAATTAAGTATTATAAATAAATGCACGATTCATAATTATACATAATGTTAACTAGACTAAGCAATGATGATATTTATATTTGTGTATTTTATGTGGATATGTCCGAATTTATAAATACATACGCATACTTTAATTGGTATTCATATTTCATTATCAATAATAAGATAGTAACTATTTATTATTGATTATGTAACATATATGTTTACTGGTTAAAATAAAATGTAAAAAAAATTTTTTTTTTTTTACAATTCAAGTACTAAATCCAGTACATTTTGTATATCAATAATACAAAATAGAAATCAATAAGATAGAATAAAAAATAAATAGGGAATAAAAAAATTATATAGTAACTATAATAGTGTACATCTACATGACAACTACATCAGGGGAATTTATTTCTCCAATTTGATGTTTTAAAATCAGCATTAACTATTAAGTCAATGTTTAATTAAGGCTATATCGAGGCAATACGTACAGTAGTGTAGTCAGTGGAATGCGTCATTTCACCGACTTTGATGGCTTGGACATGTTCTACGAATGCCGTCTCAGAGACTTCCACGTCGTGCGTTATTTGCCGACTCTGGGACTGGTTGGAAAAAGCGGAGAGGTGGTCAGTGTATGACATAGTGTCGTGGTATGAAAGAAAGCTACAAAGGGCTAGCTTCTGTTGGTCCTTCACGACTCCCTGACTGGGGTCTGAGAGATGGTGCAACACATTGACTAGAGACGTTATCAGATATGGCTCAGAATAAAAGCCAGTGGCGATCCTGCTGTAACCTTCTTTTACTTTTTTCATAAAGAGTGGTTCTAACTTTCTTAACTGAGAGAGTTCTTCTGGTTGTACATTTCAGTCCGCCTTATCTTTTCATCCTTTCTCTTCTTATTTTCATTATTTTGTGTGGCGCATATGTACCTGATGCCCTTTTGTACCAATATGTATGTGTTGAAATAAATAAATAAATAATACGTATAGTATGTACATGTGGCCAATTAGAGACTGACCAGTTGCAGTCCTAAAAACATCAATGGGAAGATTTAAACAAACAATACCAATGTTTAATTTGTTTACATTTTTCAATTGTAATCAATCTGTCATAGAATAAGATGTTTATTTTATTTATTGTCTTGGATGATAGTTGTCTCATTCTTTATGATGTAAATTAATTTAAAATCTATGCAGTCTGTATTTACTTGGTGTTGTTTACTTGTCTATTCCAACTGCAATATCGAGACAGTCCGCATAGGATGCACATGTGCCAATAACAGACCGATCAGTTACAGTCCTAAATAACAATGGGAAGTATCAAATAAACAATACCTAATGAATTTAAACTTCACTCCATTGCACAAGCAGGTGCCTATCAGGACTCAGTAGCTAAGTGGATAATGCTATGGCGTTTTAAGTGAAAGGTACTGGGTTAGAGTCTCAGAGTGAATATCAACTCTGAGATGTAGGTACATTTAGCTGACGAGTCCTAAATCGGACGAAACGCGCGTCAAACTGGATTTCACTGCTAGTTATTATCCATCTTTTCTATACAGTTTGATTTAAAATGAATAAACAAAGTCGATAAATAAACAATTTCTCTTAATAGTAATTGTAAATTTTTAATATTTTTATGTGACTTAGTGGTATGGCAACTCGGACTGATGTAGGTACGTACGAAGTTCTATGTTGTGACTGACTTACTTAGTGTCTATAATCAATGACTTAAATACGCTATATTTATGTATTCTTACGAGTCTGTAGCATCACTGATCAAGATTATCAATCATATGAACTGAAACTATAAAGTTTATTATTATTATTATTATTATTATTATTATTATGCTTTTTATAGCAACCCAATAAAGAGCTGATCTTAACTGAACTATCCGAATTACGTTCTTTATGGTTAGGTGGTCAAAATGTAAGTTTCTAATTTTTATTGTTAATATAACAAACAATAGATTGCTCTACAATTTACATTATAGACTAATCTTTTTTAGACGGATACGGAAAAAGTAAAAAAAAATACTGGACAGTTGTTTCTTTCTAGTATAGGACTCATGCAATAACATGAGTTAAATAAATTTGGGAGTATAGACCACTGAATACCGATTCAGTGGTCTAATGGTTAAGTACTCTCCTGAAGACCTTAGGCTGGTGAGTTCATCTTCTGGCGGGATTGTGGATAAATACTACTTGTGAGTCTCTATGCTCTAAAGAAACAGCTGTTCAATGCTTCCTGCTTTTTAACTGTTGTCTAACTGAAAGTCATTTCGTGATATGTAATCAGCATATGCATGTTATTGAATAGTGTTACCAAGATGAATTTCTATAAGTTTTAGCAGTTGGACTTGATCACTTACTTCCTCTTAATTTTGAGCTAAATCCCAATCCCCAACATTTTTACTCTGGTCGCATTTGTTCCATTTTTTTGTATTTCTCATGAATAGATTATTATCTCAGTTGATATTGGTTTTCTTACTCTAATCTTTCATCTCTCCCTTTCTGTTATGGTTGTATGAGATAAGATGTGACAGCTTATACCGTTATACATCCTACGGTCACTATGATTAATAGATTGATTCATTGCTTTCAATGATTCTGTAATTGTGATGCATCTTATACTTGAACACTTAACACTGTCTGTCTGATCTCGTCATAGTCTCAAAAATTTCATACAATTCAACCCTGAACAGAAGGCAGATAGTGAGGAGTATAGAAATAAAGGATATTGATAAGCTTGTTTGTAACGTTGATACCATAAAAGGTTCTGAAAATATACTGGGATTAGTAATGAAACTGTTAGTTGCCCAATCACAACATCTAGTCTGAGCCATGTTGGCAGATGCAGACTACCTGGTTGGGGTCCGCGTGACTATCGTAACCAATGTTTGTAGACTCTAGGTGACATGGCTCAAAATCGATCACAATGGCGTAGGTGTATACACTCTTTATCTTCCCTTAAACCTTGAGATTAAAATTGCTTCATAGCTTTCTTCCTTTCTATACTATATCCTTATATACAACCCATCATTTATATATTACCACCACTAAATTAACTATTTCTATGAATTCGGTGTTCATCTTGTTGTACTAACGAGGTATGACAAGTTGGACCGTTACATATATGTGCCTTGTTTTATGTTGTAGCTGACTGACTGACAATCACGACATGACACAATCTATGATTTTCTTAGAACTCTGCAAGGTTTCTTTTGAACTCTGATTGGATGAAGTATTTTAAAACTTCTTCTCAGCTTCCGAAAACTTTTCCTAACAAATTGATTTTAGTCTTATTAAAACTCTTGATCTCTATTTAGTTCCATTGAATATCTAGGTATATATTAATATTCATTTTAAAGATGGAATCAATTCTCATTGTTCTATATTACTAATTGATTTAGTTACTGTTTCCTCTATCATCGTTACCGTTTCACATGACTCGTATGATCTTTCATGTTTGCTTTTGCTTTGACTAGGTGAAATGCTCGAATATATCTATATGTATCTATCTATCTATCTATCTATCCATCTATATATATATATATATATATATATATATATATATATATATATATATATATATATATATATATAGATAGATAGATAGATAGATAGAGACACTAGTAGTCATGATAAGTCTATTTCATTTAATGATAAGCACACTGAAAGAAAATTGATTTTTCTTCGTTCACATTAGTGCATTCATCAATTCATACTTTATTATACTTTTCATAATGTAATGTGTCATTAATTTTACCTATTGTTGATATCTCTATCAGGATTGTTTTTCTCTTGAAAGTATGATTTCCTTGTATGTTTATGTTTGTACCAGCACAATTACGATAAGGTATTGGGTTCGAGTCTCAATTTGAAAATCAATACTGGAGTCTATGTACATCACCTAGCTGGCGAGTCCCGAATAAGACAAAATGTGCACTTTGAATCCCGTTGTTAACTACTATCGAACCGTATTTAAAAAATATTGTGACTAATTGGCGATTCACTTAAAATGCACATATGTCTATAGCAACTGGTTGATTGCAGTTTGTAACTTCAAAAACGATCAAACATATAAAGTCAGTTAGTATTGTTTAATTAAATCTTCCCATTGATGTTTAGGACTGCAACTAGTCAGTCTCAAATTGACATATGTGCATACTGTGCGTATTGCCTCGATATAGATACTGACCAGTTGCAGTCCTAAAACATCAATGGGAAGATTCAAACAAACAATACTCAGTGAATTCAAACTTCACCCCCATTGCACAAGCAAATGGCTATCAGGACTCAGTAGCTAAGTGAACAACGCGATGGCGCTTGAAGCGAACAAAACTGGGTTCGAATCCCAGAGTGAACATCAACTCTGAAATGTAAGGTATATCCAGCTGACGAATCTTAAATAGGACGAAACGGGCGTCCTGAATTTCACTGCTAGCCCCTATCCATCTTTGCTTACAATGCTTGTGAATTAAGGCTATATTGAGGTAATACGCACAATATGCACATATGTAAATTAGAGACTGACCAGTTGCAGTCCTAAACATCAATGGGAAGATTCAAACAAACAATATTAGGTAAATTTATTTAGAATTGAATGTTATAATATTCTTGATGATGTATTGATGAATGCAATGGTTAGAGACTCTAGGTGTCAAAATCGATCACAATGGCGTAGGTGTATACACTCTTTATCTTCCCTTAAACCTTGAGATTAAAATTGCTTCATAGCTTTCTTCCTTTCTATACTATATCCTTATATACAACCCATCTTTTATATATTACCACCACTAAATTAACTATTTCTATGAATTCGGTGTTCATCTTGTTGTGCTAACGAGGTATGACAAGTTGGACCGTTACATATATGTGCCTGGTTTTACGTTGTAGCTGACTGATTGAATGCAAATTAACTGAAATAAGACTAAATATATGTAAAATATACTTTGTTATTATTTTCATTGAAGTGTATACTGCACATCAGTTTGATTAGTAATACTTTGCGTTTGCAACTTATAAAAGTAGAAAGTATGTGAAGGTTTCAAGTGTATGATCACGTATGTCTCGAAAGCATGTGGTACTAAATACTGTGAGGTTAGACGTCAAATATCCAGTAGAAATTATAAGATTTTTGTTATGATCATAAATCTTTATCAGCTTTGTTATGTAGTAGCGAAGACATAAGTACGGGTAACTTGCAGGACCTACTATTGGACTATTATTCTTATGGTATAACTATTCGGTAACTAGATTATCTAAGCTTCATTTTGACATATTGATTATTATTGTATGATTTACTGTTCCTAAGTTATGCTCAGTTTTATTGATTATTGTCTCCCACGCTTACAGCCTCATTTGGCCTGATTTTGTACAAATATAATTTTCTATTTTATGGTGTGGTGTGGTCTGCCTGTCTGGTATATAGATAAAGTATGTTTGAAATAAACGATTCGCATTACAGCAGCTGCTATTGGTGTTTTTGACTCAAGTGGACGGGTTAGGCGGATAATGACCAATAAGGACGCTAGATTACTCATACTAATCGAACGTCATTGTCACAGTGTGAAGGTCGTAGAAGTCGTATTCTATTGGTGGGCAATTTACGCGAATTACGTCCTTGTTAAATTCGTAAGGTCATAACGAATCAGCGACGGCCTTGATCAAGTCATAACAATTGGCTACCGCCTAGGTCAAAAACGTAACAAATTGGCGACGGCTAGGTCAAGTCATAACAAGCTTATTTGCTTGAGACATCGTCCCATTACTTGGTTACACTGAGTTCCATGACTTTTGTTTAACAAAACGACTAGTTATGGTGTTTTCTCTGAAGAGTCCTATGTAAGGACGAAACAGTCGTTTAGTTGTTTAACTGATATCAGCCTGTTATTCAAGCTTTTTCGTTTGATACAATATTCGTTTTCTCTGTTATACATCATAATAATGATGATGAATCATTCCATCACAGTTTGACCTTTTTATGTTCTTTTCACTGTTAAGGTATGATGTATGATTAGTCTAAGGATTAGTTGTTTATTTACTGTGTTTACGCATGTATGATTGTTTTCATTTGATTAATTAAAAAAAACAAACATTAATCCGTTGTTTGTACTGGTTTTTCGTTTGTCTTTCTCCTTTTACTTGGTCTCGCAGCTTTTCTTGTATTAGTGTTAGTATGTACTCTGGTTATTTGTGTTCAAATCCCGTCCATCTATTTGCCCCTCTCTTTCTCTCTCTCTCTCTCTCTCCCATTCATCCACTCACTGTGCTTTATTTCAGTTTTCATTTATGTTCATTGTACAATAAACAGTCTATATTACTTAGTTTATACACGAATTGGTCATCATCAGCTCGTAATTAATTTACATGCTCGTGTTTATAATACAGTTTATTTAAACTTTTTTTAAACTGTTAATTATGTTTTAGTAGTTGGATTAATGAGTCGATGTAAGCTAGATCACCATTGAAAACTTGGAAGCGCTGGACGGTCCTTTCGTCCTAATATGGGCCTCCTGAGTAGTGCGCGTCCAACGATTCCGCAGGCGGAACTTGAACCCAGCACCTTCGGTTTTGTGCGCGAACTGATCGGGCATCCAACGGTGTTAATGTATAACTCACATCGATCCACAAATGGCTGTGCAACTATTCATCGACTGTCTCTACTCGACAGCGGTTTAGAGACTAAGCGTTCGCGCGCGAAACCAAAGGTCCTGGGTTCGGATCTCGAGTGCAGGATCGTAGGGCGCGCACTGCTGAGGAGACCCATATTAAAACGAAACTGCTGTCCAGTGTTTCTAGGTTTTTAATGGTGGTCTAGCTTAGGTTGACTCCACAAACCTCATTCTGATCATAATTATTTTTTCTTCAAACAATACAATTATTTAGTACAAAGATAATGGTTGATGCCTAATTGAATGATGTAGTAAGTGGCCGTATAAAATCCTTAAAATTGAACTTAACAGAGTAGTGAATGGATTGACCTCATTACGTTTCTTGGACATTTCGTGAAGGATTTGAAGAGCTTGTTTGACTTTTTGTTAACTTGTGTCACATGTGTTGTAGGATATTCATATAATTAACGTGGAGCAAACATACTATACAGCAATTCATTTTGTATTACCCTGACTGTGAAAGTGGAGAACATATTTAGGTTGACAGTATTTGATCATAGGTTTCTTTTAAGTATTGCTCATTTACGTTGAAATAACCAAATAGACAATGCTGAGGTTAGACTTAAGGGATTATGTAAATGTGGCGGATCGAGTTTTATAGACTGAGATCGCTAAGAAGTGTTAGCACTTTGTATAGGAACAAACTGGAAAAAGATTGCGGTCTGGCTAAGTAAGATGTAATGTATCAGAGCGTCACAGTATTGACTGTTTGCCGGAACCTTGGTTACAGACTGAATAATATGGCTAGAAAATGGTTGCACTGAATCAGGCGTATCCATTGTTCATCTGCCTTCAAATCTTGAGTGTTAATATGGTTTCATACTTTTTACCCCATTATTATATTACTTTTTTCAATTGTATTATCGATGTTTAGTATCTTACTGTCATCGACACTACTATTACTTCGCTATCTTTACTAGAAATCTTGCTAATCTTGTCTAACTGTGCTTGATATGGTCTTTATTTATTTAAACATATAAATATTGGTACAAGGGGGCACCAGATGTATATGCGTCGCACAAATCGCAATCGATTTGTGTGAGGGCTGTGATATTGCCCAGGTGCCCAAACTGAAGCAGATGGTTTTCTTAGGGGGCCACACTCGGGGCCTTTGATCTAAAGATCTGATATACAAGGCAGTGGAATATCGTGAGGAGATGCAGTCCCATTGTAGCCGATGACCAACGATTGATCCATACTCCATTTGCTCCATCAGGATACTGGAACCCATGTGCACCATTGGTTTGTAATCAGGGTTTTCCAACTTCCCTAGGTGGACTCACGTGATATGGTGTTTTAACTTGATTCGATGCTCACCTTTCCGGAGTTCTTTATTTTTATAATTGGCTGAGTACGAGGTACTTAAGCTACTGATTTTCAAACTAACTACCATTGTCCTCTGAATGTTCAACCTTCAACCCATAAAATACTAGTTATCCAACTGAAACGTTAATTATTTATAAAGTTACAAATCACTTTACGATGGTCACATGTTAACTGAAATGGACAAGTGTAAGTGGTTTATTGTAAATAATATCACTATAATATGAGTGTATACTTTTTTACCATTGTATCGTTATGAATAACCATTAGTGATGGAAGGTGGATGGGGGAGGGTTCATGCCAGTTGGCACTTTTCAGAAAGGCATAACTGCAATGTTACGGGAGCCGATGTTCCTTGTTGGATTCAAACGTGCATCACCCCCCTTCAAAATCTGAGATGTTATCACTAAGTCATTCAGGCAGCTACTGCTCTCGTTGAACTGAAATATTTACAACTGATTGGTCATTGAGTAGTGACTAATGCCATTTTTTTCTAACTTTCTTGCTGATCGAATTATGTTTATTGAGGATTGCAGGTGAACACTCCTGGCAAATGTCCACTAACACGAAAAAGATGTCGTGAACTTCATGGTTGCTACTTCCAATCGTCTTGCATCTCAGCATATTTACACTCTATGTTCAGTCACTTTGACTAATGATTACATTGCAAGTTTATTGGTAGGACTCAATCACCACTGAGGATTAGTAAAAAATTATTCTATTCACCATTCACTGATCAATCAACCGTAAGGGCTTGAGATCCTTGATAATCTAATATTTCACGATACACTTTGTCACCGACTGATCGTAGCTGATAAACCATTAGATACCTGGAATCAGTGGGAAAGAGTTTATTATTTACATAAAGTTTACTTCATAATTTTCGTTTTTAAATAATAAAGGTTTACTCTTTTGATTTTTGTTTTCTGTTAGACTAATGTAAAAGCATTTCAAAAAGAAACTAAAAACTTTTGTCAATACCTTGAAAAATACGCATCAATTAAATCAAAAGAGTTTACAGAAGATGTAAGTTATTGAGTGTTTTATGGTGATTAAACAATAGTTAAATTGATGAGTCAACCTAAGCTAGACAACCATTAAAAACCTGGAAACACTGGATAGCCGCTTCACCCTAGTATGGGACTCCTCAGCAGTGCGCGTTCAACGATCCCGCACGTGAGATCCGAACCCAGGACCTTAGGTTTCGCGTTCGAACGCTTAACCCCTGGACCACTGATCCGGCATCCAACGGTATTAATGTCTATCTTCAAACGATCCATGATCTTGCATAACCCTTCCTCCATTGTCTTTTGTGGATAACTGCCTCCACTCGATACGGATTAAACGTGCGAAAGAGAAGGTCCTGGATCCGATTATCCTGAGCGGGATCGTGGATGAGCACTGCTGAGTAGTCCTATGCTAGGACGAAGCGGCCGTTCAGTGTTTCAAGGTTTTTAATGGTGGTCTATCTTAGATTAAATTGTCAATTCAAATGTTAAAATTTTAATTTTGTTTTCCTTTATTCAGTTTAGAAGTTATTTCTGTAAATTAAATTACGATCAGTTAACTATTGCGTCATCACTTACCTTTTTATGAAAACTGGCCTAATAACATACGTATTAAGATGTATTATTTACTATGTATGGTGTATTCTTGTATTTTAATTGCATAACATTCCATCGATTATAATTCTGAATGATATTTGTGATCAACCATTTGACCCACTGATGTTATGATTAGAGATTTCATCATTGTAAGCGAGTATACGTAGGTTATTAAGTGTGTAAGGAGTTGAAAACTGAAATTAATTGGTTTTATTTTTCATCACTCACGGAATAAATATGGGTACAAGGGGGCACCACATATATATGCGCCGCACAAATCTCATTTAATTTGTGTGAGAGCTGTGATACTGCCCAGGTGCCCAAACTGAAGTAGGTGGTTTTCCTAAGGAGCCACACCCAGAGTCTTTGGCCTAAAGTTCTGATCCACAAGGCAATGGAACATCGTGAGGAGATGCAGTCCCATGGTAGCCGATGATCAACAACTGATTCATGCGCCCTTTGTTCCTTCAAAATACTCGAGCCCATGTGCACCATTGGTTTGGAATGAGGGTTTTCCAACTCCCCTGGGTGGAGTTTCTGTGTCGACCAACCCTGTTAAAGAGCCGGACATTCGATTTTCGTCCTCTCAATTCTGTAGAAAACAGTAATGTCACGAAACGGCAGTGAGCAAGGACTTCCCTGACAGAGGCTGTATGAATAGCTATTGCAAAATGTCAGAAATTATGAAGTAGATATAAGCTTTTTCCTTTGAAAAAGTTTTGACCAGATTACCAAGCGTAACGTTTAATTTACTTCAAATTCAATCTCTGAGATTTTACAAATATATTCTTCCTCTTTAATGTCTTACATTAAGTCAGCGCTTAGATACTGTTACACTATTCGTTCAAATTTAGACGAAAGTCTTTATATGGATATAAACTGTTCCATTCTATTTTAAAATTTTTAGAATAATTTATTGATTAGACTCACCTTTAATCTGCATTCGATTCTGATAGACTAATACATGGTTAGTTTCAAAATTTGAGGTTAAAGAAGCAACTTATCAATAACAGACGTATTCAGTCAGTCAGTCACAACGTAGAACTTCGTACGTACGTACATCAGTTCAAGTTGCCATACCATATTAACACAGAGATGCAGTTGTCAATTCAAATCCCATAGTGGTAGAAGTAGTTAGAGTATAAGCATTGTGTTTGAAGATGTTATTGAAGGAGTATAATACAATGAAATAAATTTGGAAAGAGAAAAAATATAGGAACATGAAGAATCCATCAGATTAGAGTTTGGCAGAACACAATGAGTGGATGCACCTGTGCCATTGCAAACGATTTTGAGTCATGTCATTCAAGGTCTCTAACCATCGATTGCTATCATCTCGTGGATCCCAACCAGGTAGTTTACACTTACCAACATGGCTCAGTCCACCTGTCAGTGACTTCATGGATTTGTGCCATGTTTTGGTCTGGCCGCCCCTAGCTTTCTCCCAACTTACTCCTACACCATAAAACATTGCACGTCAGGGATCAGACGTATTAATTTATCTATATCAGTAAAAATCTACCAAACAAGGTGTTATGTTGTCATTTTGTAAGATATGATAAAAGATGATAGGTGAAACACAAATACATAGAGATTTCAGTTCTAAAACCTTCAAAAGAGTTAATTCAAATGTGTAGGCTTTAATATTTTGAATCCTGAGTTTTTTCAATATAGACGAAATACTATTGATGAGATTATTATATTTCTGTTTAATGGTTTAAAAAAATTAATCGCTTATCTAGTGAATATTCTAGAAACTGTTTCGATTATAGTCTCCAGTGTAAATATCAACACTTGGATGTAGGTATGTATACTCAACTCCTTAATTTTCAATGATAATTCAATTGAAATCAATCGTTGACTACATAATGCATACAAATCAAATCGATCTCTACAGAACCATTTTAACATTCATATAAGAACCCTCTGGGATCACCGGGTAAGTAATATTGAAGTTAGATGCAGGGTATTAAGGAATGATGGTAAATCAGTTGATGAGGTCATGAATCTTCATCGACTGAGATGGTTGGGCCACATGTTACATATGTCTGAACACCGATTACCACGACGCTCTATGCTGACTAGTATTGGGGATGGTTGGAAGAGAGTTAGGGGTGGCCAAACCAAAACATGGCATCAGTGCTTGAAGTCACTCACTTCTAGTCTGAGCCATGTTGGTAGATGCAGACTACTTGGTTGGGGTCCGCGTGACTGTCGTAACCAATGGTTGGAAACTCTGTGTGACATAGCTCAAAATCGATCACAATGGCGTAGGTGTATACACTCATTATCTTCCCTTAAACTTTGAGATTAAAATTATTTCATAACTTTTTTCCTTCCTATATTATATCCTTATATACAGCCTTTCTTTATATACTACCACCACTAAATTAATTACTTCTATGAATCCGGTGTTCATCTTGTTGTGCTAAAGAGGTATGGCAACTTGGACCGATGCATATATGTGCCTGGTCCTACGTTGTAGCTGACTAACTGACCTCTGGTTAACCTATCTATTCTCTTATTTCATTTTTATTTATCCTTTCTATCTCTTTTTTCATTTTATTTTCATTATAGAATGATGCAAAAATGCTTCAAGAGCGTAAAAATTATATTGCCAAAGCATTTGAATACATTAGCAATATAAATGAAGCGCACGAATTGAAAAAATCCAAATTTGTTCAAACAGTAAGTTGTTATTCATTAGTTGCATAACTGTTTTGTTATTGTTATTATTATTACCGACTTCAATGGATATTTCCTGGGGTTCTAGTGAGAAGCAGTAACCAGTGGAATTCAACCAGGTCTGTTGTGAGATATCAATTCACTGAAGACAATTGGTGAATGGTTGCTCAACTTCGTGGATTGATTGAAGTTAGACATTAACACCGTTGGATGCCGGATCAGTGGTCTAGTGGTTAAGCGCTCACGCGCGAGACTGATAGATCCTGGGTTCGAATCTCGTGAGGCGGGATCGTGGATGTGCACTGCTGAGGATTCCCATAATAACACGAAACGGCCGTCCAGTGTTTCCAGGTTATCCATGGTGGTCTAGCTTCAATGGACTCATGATTTTAACTATGAAAATACTGAAATCTCCACAAAATCCCTTCTGATCCTATTACATATGTTTGATTATAACAAATAACCATCCGAATTGTATCCATGACGTGAGCGAACAGTTTATTCAGTAAAAGAATTTTATCTGTCTAGTAGTAGTTTATTTACAGGGTGGTACAGTTAGGTTTATACCAATAAGTAAGCAAACAAAAACTCCGCATGTAGCTCTTCTAGAGTTACTGCCGGTCCCCAGCCCGGGTAAAGGAGGAGGATTGGGCATAGGGTTAGCGACCCAATCCCGTAGAAAAATTAACTCGCTAAAAAACGCTAACCAGAAAGAATTATTCAAACCATACAAACTCTGCCTTGGGAGTTGAAGGAATAAGCATATATGAAAAGGATGAATAACAACTGGAAAGGATTTCCCAGGACAGAATTGGACGGGGAATGCTGATGGGCGGCCTATGCTCCTCCACGAGGGGTAACAGGCGTAAGTAAGTAAGTAAGTAAGCGAACAAAAGTCCATGTAATTAAATTAACAATGAATAAGAGCTCATTATCAAAAAAGAGTGTATTAATGAAGATGAGTATCGTAAAAGGTAATAAATATGTATTTAAACAATCACTAGGAACCTAGAAGAACTGGACAACTGTTTCATCTTAATATGAAACTTCTTAGCAATCCATATTCACTTCTTTGGAACCGGAAATCAAACTTGGAGCCTTCATTCTCTGTTTGAAATTTGGTCGGTTTACTGTCTATCCCTTTACATGTATGACCAATTATAAACGTAGTTCTTTCAATGTTCAACCCAGAGTTTACTGTTTGACGAATGTTATCATTTTTGGTAACAGTTTGTTATTCTTATTACCGTAGTCATATTATCTCATATATCTACTTTGAACTGTTAAATTGAGAAGTTAGTTAACCTGCTCATCATACTCGCCCTTATTAATGGGTATGTTTTTTAATCACGCCCTTCTTATAGTTAACCTTTTGCTTATGGTCTAATGAATTAATACAGTACAATCTTATGTTCCATAAAAAAGAAACAATTCGTATGTTTGTGAAAATACTTTGTTTAGTTAGTTGTAATAAAAATTGACTATCTAACTTTATAGATCAGAAGAGGTTTTGAGGAGATTTCAGTATTTTCATAGTTGAAATCATGAGTCAATTGAAGCTAAACTACCATGGAAAACCTGGAAGCTCTAGATGGCCGTCTGATCCTATCGTGGGACTCCTCATCAGTGCTCATCCACGACCCCGCTCAGGATAATCGGACGCAGGACCTTCTGTTTCACACGTTTAATCCGTGTCGAGTGGAGACAGTTATCCACAAAAGACAATGGAGGAAGGGTTGTGCAAGATCATGGATCAATTGAAGCTAGACATTAATACCGTTGGATGCCGGATCAGTGGTCCAGGGTTAAGCGTTCGAGTCTAGTAGGTCCTGGGTTTTTATCTAACTTTATTTAAGCAGATGTAAGGTGAGATATCAGTTTAAAAGATATTTTGTGTCTGTATCTAGGGTGGGTACATTGCCATGATTGACTTAAGACGATCTACAATAAATGAAAACTCACATTAATTACGTCTTGTATTCTGCAACATTTAATGAATTGATGACATTCAGATTTTTGCTTAGATATATTTTTCAATTTCTTGTCAAATATTCCTTGAGCTTTAAGTTTAGATCAATCTTAAACGGATTGATCACCGAATAGTAACCCATTGTATGGACTGAACTCTATCGATCAAGTTTCAGTATGGTCAGTAATTTAAGTGATTGGACGTCGAGCATACTATATGTGCATGTTAGTTGTTGGAGTAGATAGACGGAAAATGCCAAATTTAGGTCTCATGGCAGTTGGCATTCATCAGAAAGCCTTACCTGAAATCTTAAAGATGTGTCAAATCCAGTTCACTCAGTTTCAATTTTTGAAAGCTTATTGCTTAGCAATTCAGTTAACGACTGTTCTCACGTAACACTGAAGTACTTACATTGGTTTATCAATGAGTTTTCGTTGTGATCATAGCAATATTCATGTTATTAACTCTTCATGCTTGCAAGTTCCAGTTTAATGACAAGTAGAGATATTTTGTTTATCTTAGATGGCTTCTTTCATTTGCATAAATATATTCAATAAAACCTTCCTAACTTGTCATATTAGTATTCAAATAAGCCTACAGTTTATTAAATCTTCTGCTAATTTGAAGTTAATAGACACCAAAAATTGATAGACCCTTGAAGTATTAGTATAATGAATGAAGACTTGGTGGGAAAAGCCAATTTGTTGGTTTATGCCAGATTACATAGTGCCTTTGTAATCAGTCAGTCAGCTACAACGTAGGACCAGGCACATATATGCATCGGTCCAAGTTGCCATACCTCTTTAGCACAACAAGATGAACACCGGATTCATAGAAGTAATTAATTTAGTGGTGGTAGTGTATAAAGAAAGGCTGTATATAAGGATATAATATAGGAAGGAAAAAAGTTATGAAATAATTTTAATCTCAAAGTTTAAGGGAAGATAATGAGTGTATACACCTACGCCATTGTGATCGATTTTGAGCTATGTCACACAGAGTTTCCAACCATTGGTTACGACAGTCACGCGGACCCCAACCAAGTAGTCTGCATCTACCAACATGGCTCAGACTAGAAGTGAGTGACTTCAAGCACTGATGCCATGTTTTGGTTTGGCCACCCCTAACTCTCTTCCAACCATCCCCAATACTAGTCAGCATAGAGCGTCGTGGTAATCGGTGTTCAGACATATGTAACACGTGGCCCAACCATCTCAGTCGATGAAGATTCATGACCTCATCAACTGATTTACCATCATTCCTTAATACCCTGCGTCTAACCTCACAATTACTTACCCGGTTATCCCAGCAGACGCCTTTTTAATAAACGATGAAAATCAGACAGTAAATATATCATTTACTAATCTTCCTTGAGTTTTCCGTTACATATATCATCATTCCTTCAATCCTGTTATTATTTCAATTGCTCTGTGTTTTCCTTCTTACTCTCTTCATTTCAATTTGCTGCTGGTAAACATTCCATTCCTGCTATATACTACTTATGTCTGTCCACATAAGTAGTGCATACCGCAATGGTATTCGTAGTGGCAACAGTTTTATTAAAAAGTAATAAAGTCAACTTGATAGAGTAAACAAATTCTTTCAACCTTTGAAGTAGGTCAAATTTTGGGAGAGAAAAAAATACATTAAAAACAAATCAATGAAGGTAATTTCATACAAAGGGCATTAGATTTGTACATGTATACGGATAATTCAAGTGTACTTATCTAAGGGTTGCAAAATTGATGAAATACTTAGAGATTAATAAATATGTTGAGTCTTTGTTAATCGACCAGAGAATGAAGTTAATATCAAATTATAAGAAAAGATGGATAGTGGCTAGCAGTGGAATCCAGTTTGACGCACGTTTCATTTTATTTGGGACTCGTCAGCTGGATGTATCTGCATCTCAGACTTGATGTTCACTTTAGGACTCGAACTCAATACCTTTCGCTTCAACAGTATGTACATATGCTAATAAGCGACTGACCAGTTTCAGTCCTTAGCATCAATAGGAAGATTCAAACAAACAATACTAAGTTAATATCAAATTGTTATGACATTATAAAAAATAAAAAGGTTGTATCCGATTCGTTATAATTTTAAGTTCGGCTTTTTAACACGTGATTTATTCAACAATCGAAATACGATTTTTCCAATCTTAACACTGTCTCAAAACAATGACCTTCGACTAGTATGATCAGTCTAGCGTCCTTATTGGTCCCTTTGTCCGCCTAGCCCTTCCAATTGAGTCCAAAACACCAATGACAGCCTCTGTTATGCGAATCATTTTTCTTCAAGCATAGTCGGTTTATATACCAGACAGACAGACCGTATCATACCATAAAATAGAAAATAATATTCGTAGAAGATCAAACCGAATGTGGCTGTGAACATGGTACACAATAATCAATAAACTGAACATGATTTGGGAACAGTAAATCGTACAGCAATAATAAATAGGTCGAAATGAAGCTTATAATAAGATGAATATAGATATACACAATCTAATTAGTCAATAGTTAAACAATAAGAATATATATAGAATAATCGTCCATTAATAGATTCTGGGGGTTACCCGTATTTATGTCTTCACCAGGATATAACACAAATTATGATTGTCCGTGTAAAATCTCCTCATAATCTTAGCTGAATTTCTGAACTACAAAAAGATGCTTAATTAACTCTCCTACTTACTTACTTACTTACTTACTTACTTACTTACTTATTTACTTACTTACTTACTTTCGTCTGTTACTTCAAATGGAGCATAGGCCGCCGACCAGGATTCTCCAACTATCCTATTATAACAGATGAATTTATAAAACTAAACAATTTATATTCACTTGGTATTGTTTGTTTGAATCTTTCCATCGATTTTGTTAGGACTGCAACTGGTCAGTCTCTAATTGGCATATGTGCATACTGTGCGTATTGCCTCGATATACCTTAATTCACATCTCTGCTAAACAATTTATGTTTACACTGAGACTCGAACTTAGTATATATTTATTTAGACACATAAATATTGGTA